ACACTATGGTATTGATGAAAGAAAAGACAAATAGATCAAAAGAACTGAGAGAGCCCAGACATAGACCCACATAAATATAGTCAACTGATCTGCAACAAAGGAGCAAAGACAATACAATGAACAAAGATAATCTTTTCAAAAAACAGTGCTGGAACAACTGGACATCCACATGCAAAAAAAAAAAAAAAGTCTAGACACAGATCTTACACCTTTCACAAAAATCAACTGAGAATAGATAACAGAACTAAATGTTAAGATGCAAAACTACAAAACTTCTAGAAGATAATACAGGAGAAAACCTGGATGATCTTGAGTATGGTAGTGAGTTTTTAGATACAGCACCAAAGGTACAATCCACGAAAGAAATAATTGATACCTTGGAGTTCATTAAAATTAAAAACTTCTAATTGCAAAAGACAGTATCAAGAGAATGAGAAGATAAGCCATGGACTGGGAGAAAATATTTGCAAAAGACACATCTGATAAAGAATTATTATCCAAAATATACAAAGAACCCTTAAAATACAACAGTAAGAAAACAAACAATTCAGGTAAAAAATGGATGAGAGACCTTAACAGACCCCTCCCACAGAAGGTATTCAGTTGGAAAATAAGCATATGAGAAGATGTTCCACATCATCACAGGGAAATGCAAATTAAAACAACAATGAATGACGCCTAGGTGGTTTAGTCAGTTAAGCATCTGCCTTCAGCTCCCGGGGTCCTGAGATAAGAGTCCCACATCAGGCTCCTTGCTCAGCAGGGAGCCTGCTTCTCCCTCTGCCTGCTGCTTTGCCTGCTTGTGCTCTTTCTCTCCTTCTCTGACAAATAAATAAATAAAATCTTTAAAATAAATAAAACAATGAGATACCACTGCACACCTGTAAGAATGGCCAAAAGATAGAACAGTGACAACATCAAATGCTAGCAAGGACGTGGAGTGACAGGAACTCTCATGCATTATTAGTGGGAATGCAAAATGGTATACCCACTTTGAAAAAGAGTTTGGCATTCTCTTACAAAACTAAACATACTCTTAGCATATGATCCAGCAATCATGTTCCTTGGTATTTACCCAAAGGAATTGAAAACTTATGACTACACAAAAACCTGTACATGGTTGTTTATAGAAGCTTTATTCACAGTTGGCAAAACTTGGAAGCCACCAAGATCTCCTTCAGTAGATGAGTGGATAAATAAAGTGTAGTATATTCAGACAATGCAATATTACTCAGTGCTAAAAAGAAATGAGCTATCAAGTCATGAAAAGATATGAAGGATTCTTAAATGCATATTACTAAGTGAAAGAAGCCTATCTGAAAAGGTTATATGCTATATGATTCCAACTATACAACATTCTGGAAAAGGCAAAACTATAGAGACAGTAACAACAATAAAAAACTCCTGGTTGCCAGGGGTTGGGGGATGAATAAGCAGAGCACAGAGGATTTTTAGAACAATGAAAATATATGATACCATAATGATTGATGCATATCATTATACATTTGTCCAAACCCATAAATGTATAATACCAAGAATGAACTGTAAGATAAATTATGTGGGCAATAATGATGTATCAATGTAGTTATAACAAATGTTCTACTCTGGTTGGGGATATTGATAATGGGCAGGCTATGCATGTGTAGGAACAGGGAGTATATGGGAAATCTCTGTACCTTTCCCTCAATTTTACTATGAACCTAAAACTGCTCTAAAAAAGTAAAGTCTTGGGCGCCTGGGTGGCTCAGTTGGTTAAGCGACTGCCTTCGGCTCAGGTCATGGTCCCGGGGTCCTGGGATCGAGTCCCGC